ATTTTTTTTCAAGGGGCAAAAATGAGAATCAAGATCTATTATGTAAAGGTACAGAATCCCAAGGATGAATGTAACTGTATTGTATACCTAGATTGTACCAATAAACTCAATAAAAAGAAAAAAGAAAGAACACAAGGGGCTGGGGATTTAGCTCAGTGGTTCCGCTGCCTCCCTCACAAGCACAAGGACCTGAGTTCATATCCCTGGTACAAAAAAAAAAAAAAAGAGATGTCCATTTAAAGAATATACTTGATACTTGACAGCTGTATATTCTGATTTCCAGAGAACTCTTTTAGCCGGGCGTGGTAGTGCACGCCTGTAATCCCAGCACTTGGGAGGCTGAGGAAGGAGGATTGCTGTGAGTTCGAGACCAGCCTGGGCTACATAGTGAGTTCTAGTCACTCTCAACTATATAGTGAGACCCTGTCTCAAACCGCCCCCCCAAAAAAAAGAAAGGAAAAAAAAAAAGAGAACCAAGACCTGTCATGTAAAGGTACAAAATCCCAATGATGAATGTAACTGTACTGTATACCTAAAATGTACCAATAAACTCAATGAGGAAATAATAAATAAATAATAAAAGCGTACAACTCTACAATAAAAAGATAGCCTACTTACACACCTAAAAGGATGGTTACATTAAAAAGAAAGATTAAGCCAGATATGGTCCCAGCACACTGGGAGGCTGAGGCAGAAGGATCACAAGCTCAACCCCCCTCCTGGACAACTTGGCAAGTGAGCAAGACGTGTCTCAAAAGCAAAAGTTTTAAAAAGGCTGGGGATGTAGCTCAGTGTGAGAGGCCTGGGTTCTATACCCAGGACACCCCGCAAATACATTCTAAGGGCTGGCAAGGATATGGAGAAGTTAGAATCCTCAAACACTGCTAGTGGGAACATGAAATGATGCCATCATTTTGCAAAGAAGTCTGATGCTCTCTCAAACCTTCACCAGACATTTTTTCAAAGGAGAAATGAAATTACATGTACACACAAAAACCCTTGCATATAAACATTGACAGCAGCACTATTCAAAATGGCCCCAAAGTAAAACAGCCTAAATGTCCATTAGCTGACAGACATAAACTATAGTATATACATACTATGGCATAGTCAAAAAGGGATGAAGTCTGATTTCAGACAAACTGACAAATGGCACACACTGAAAACAGCACAAGTCAGACACCAAAGGCCACATAATCCCATTCATGTGAAAACTCCAGAAACAAATCCATAGAAACAAAGTAATTAGTAACTGCCAGGCCTGAGGAGAAAGGTGAGTAGGGAATGACTACTAAAGGGTCGAGTCTCTTTGCAGGCAATGAAAATGTTCTAAACTAGACAGTGATGATGTGAATACATTGACATATATATGTGAATATACTGATTACACTTTAAAGGATAAATTTTATTTTTAAAAAATGAAGGAAACAAGGGAAAAGAGAAAAAGAGACAGACACATACATACATTCTGGCATACTCAGAGAGCTAAGATTGTCATGACCACTTCAAATTCATCTCACTGGGGTGAGTGGTGAGACACTTGCCTAGCATGTTAGACACCCCCTGTCCTACAAAAGAAGGAGGAGGAGGAGGAAGAGGAGTAGAAGGGGAGTGGGGAATGGGAGAAAAAGAGAGCGAGAGCGAGAGAGCGAGAGAGCGAGAGAGAGAGAGAGAGAGAGAGGGAGAGGGAGGGAGGGAAGGGAGGGAAGGGTAGGGAGGGGGGAGAAAATAAATTATTACTTCTCCCTTACACTAGTGTGACAGCTCACCAAGTAGTCTGGGCTGAACTGGGGTCACTATAAAATCTGTTGTTCATATAACAGGATGATTCACCTCATATAGAAATTTTATTGTATTACTCCTCTGCTTAAAAGTTTTCAATGGCTCTCGCTGATGACAAAATACAAATACAAACTCATTGAAATGATGACATGGAAACAATATCTTTGTAAACAGGGAAGGGTGGGGGGATGAAGTGGGGGCTGGGGAATGGGGAAAGATACCAAGATAAGTCATGTAAAGGTACAAGATCCCAACGATGAATGGAACTGTATTGTATACCTAAAATGTACCAATAAACTTAGAAAGATTTTAAAAAATGATAGCTGTAGCCCTCAATGGTTTTTTGGGCTCATCTGGAGCCACCCCCTTCAACCCAAGCAACGCTAAAGCCATGGTTGGACCTCTCAAAAGGCTATTCTCTTCTTATCTTGTTCACTCAGATAACCCCGACCATCTTTAGGCCTTCTCTAAAAGACAGAAGTTGTTACTTAGACAAAGACTGCTTGCTGATCTAATAAATATCAGCCTCCCTTCAGTGTTATGGAACTCACACGTGCTTATTAGCTAAACACAAGAGAGGATACAGAGCCATGTAAATAAACTGTCAACAATGGGACGTAAGCACAAGTTTCCAGGATCTTCTTCAGGAGACACGCCTTAATCTCGACTTCTATGTTCTCCCATCCTGATCCTGAACTAAGAGGCTGCCATCTCAGGTCACAAAATGAGACCTCCCAGGGTGGAGTGATGCTGTCGTTACTGCTCACTTCATACTGTACACACCAGCCCCAATGTATTTCCATAATAGGGAAATAAATGTAGTTCACTTACTATTAGTTTGGATTTTCTACCTCTGATAATCCCCTCTTACAGCTAGAATTTCTGCATGTCCTGATGCTTCCTTTGGCATTTTCTCACAACAGCAGCGATGCTAAATCCTCTCACTGGTTTTATTTCTCTAGACTGTGAGCTCACAGTGAGGCTATGATAATTTACCCTCATATCAGCCTAGCATAATACCTGTCACAATGTCCAGCCTATCTTAACCTTATCCTTTTTTATCAAAGTCCAAATGTAAAAAGAATTTGTATTCTAAATATTTCACAGTATCTCTCAATTTCTGCCCAAAATCTCCAGTGAAGTTCCCCCAGTTTCTGAACACAATCAGTTGTAAAATGTATTTGTGTAAGAGAGGTCTCAGCATCTATTTTTTCCATGTGAGCAGCTCCAAAAGATTAGAAATAAATTCATCATTGACTCAAAAATGCATGTGTTGAATATCTACTATGTGTTAGGCATAGTGCCTGGAACTAAAAATATTAATTAGTCATTCCTGGCTCTCATGCTCTGTTGAGTTGCTGTTTCTCTTTGAGAATCCATCTATAACCTGCGGCCCCCCAACCTTCCATCAATCTGTGCTTTAAGAACTGCTCCACCACCTGCCTCCATAGCTCAAGGACCCAAGGACCCAAGGAGGGAGGGGGAGGAGGGGGAGGAGGGTGAAGGGAGGCAAAGCGGGGAGGGGAAGCGGGGAGGGGATGAGGATGAACTGCTGCAAGCAGAACTCTTGGTGAGATCTGACTTGAGCAGGTTTGTGGCATGACTGTCTCTTGACCCTTCTCTGTTCTCTATCTTTGCTTCTACTGTGTGCCATCCGCTTTGGTCCTTCCAGCCTGATGGTTCACTGAACAACTTTTCCTGAGTTGACCCTCCCAAGTTACATCCTGCTCTACTTCTTGTCTCTCTTGCTCATTTGTGGGAACTTTTTCTGCAACATTCTTGATAACTGGCCTGTGCCTTGGTCCTGCTCACTCTTCCTGAAAACTATCTCAGGAGGGAAAGGTAGTCCATATGGCCCCATAGCAGTCCCTCCTCCTGACAGACACATCAACCCTCAAGGGGGGTGATGGTATAATTGAAAGAAAACTGGCTTACAAGGTAGAGAGCACATACAAATATAGTCTTGGGAAAACAATTTAACCACTTGAACCTCTGTTTCCTCAAATATAAAATGGAGATTCAAACCAGGTGTGGTGGCACACGCCTGTAATTTCAGCACACAGAAAGGATGAGACATGAGGATTCCAGTGAGTTCAAGGCCAATCTGACCTAAATATTGAGACCCTGTCTCAAAAAACAAATAATTGAAAATTTTAAAAAATTTTAAAATAAATAAAATGGGGAATCTACCTACCTATAAAGATTACTCAAAAGATTGAGAAAATTGGGCTGGGGATTTAGCTTAGCAGTTCAGTGGCCTGCTTTGCAAGCGCAAGGACCCGAGTTCAATCCCCGGTACCAAAAAAAAAAAGATTAGAGAAAATTCATGTACAGGGCCCAAGGCAACGAAAATTTTCAGTTGTCATGACTATGATTTGGACACAAGAGAAGTGCCATATCTGTAATATGTGATAGCAAGCCATTTAAGAAAATGTATATACTTCTACAATATTTTTCGAACATTACTGCTACCTAAGCTGCATCAGGTACTGAAACTGGAACTATAAACAAGAAAGGGACTTACATTTGGCTAAAGAAAAAGGTAAGTAAAACAATAATTACAACACAATGTGGTGAATACACAAAATATTTTACATACAAGTTTATCATATTCAGAAGTCGGGAGACAGAAGTTTCACTGGAATAAAAAGGGAGAGAGCTAAGAGTGGCAATAGCAAGTGTAAACAATTCCTTTACATAATTAAAATGCCTGCCCTCTGAGCAATTTCAACAGGTAACTTTCCTCTGAATAATTAGGGTCACAAAAAGGCCTACTAACTCCCATATTCACATCAAATCTTATATTGTAACCCAGTTCCCTGCTAAAGATCCTGTCCCAAATCTTACAGTTATAAATAGATCCATGCATATCAATCCCCAGTACCAAAAAAAAAAAAAAAAAAAAAAAAAATCTACACATGAAATACAATGTCAAATAGAGTATAGCAGTTTTATGTTTTTGTTTCTAAACCTATGAGGTGAGTTCAAATAGACAAGTGAACCTCAAGGAGGCTAAATAAACTGCCTAAATTGCCAAGCTATTAAATGAAGAGCTAGAACTCCCACTTATTGCATAACCGATTTTAACCATTACATGAAACGTACTTCTGTCTTTTAGCCCTTAGTATCTGGATATTAACTTTTAGCTTTCAATTTTTTTAGGTTTTAATCTAACTCTGAAGAAAAAGTCAATTTGACCAGTGATGTTTCTTTTTCCTCATCAGATGGTAATGTGCCAACATTGTAATGAGGTTTAAGGGAGGCACATCTCACAAATATGGCACCAACACCCAATCATCATGCTCCTAACTTGTTTATGATCCCTTTTTATTTTTATTTGTTTATTAAATTTTGGTACCAGGGATTGAACTCACAATCTTGCACTTGCAAGGCAGGCTCCGTAACACTGAGCTACATCCCTGGCCCTGATCCCTTTTTAAACGGCTAGATTAAAATGTATCAAGATCTTAAGCAATGATGCGCAATTTAAGCATTACTCTGGCTATGGTTTATATAAAAGCATGGCTTTCCTAAACCAGTATTATCAGGGCTTGAGCTTCTACTAGTCTGCAGAGTTAGACGAATTTATCTGCTCCATCCATACACTGGGCTGGTTCCCCATACCATTCAGGGCACATATTTAGTTTTTAAAGATCTAGCCCTGCGGAAGAGGCAAAGCTAATAAAAACAGAACTTCTAAACTTCTTACCATGCTAGGCACCATCCTCCAAGTAATGACAAGAAGTGACCTGTGTGCAGTTGTTACCAAAATAACATTGTCAATTTCTACTTTAGTGTCTAACTAAGGAATGGCATTAAGAAAGTAAAAAGTGCACACCTGTAATCCCAGCACTCGAGAGGCTTAGGCACGAGGATCACTGAGTTTAAGGCCAGCCTGGGCTACATAGTGAGTTGAGGCCAGCCTGAACTACATAGTAAGATTCTGTCTCAAAAACAAAACAAAACAAAAGTAAAAATTCAAGAGACTGAGAAGATATGTACAATATACCTAACAGAAAACTCATACTCAAATTTTGTGATTATGAATCAATTTAAAAAACACAACTTTTTGCCAAAACACTTGAATAGGTACTTCACAAAGGATATAAAAAACGCCAATAAACATATGGAAAAGTGCTCAATATCATTAGACATTAAGAAAATGCAAATTAAAGCCAATAAGCAACACTACTGCATATCTTACTAGAATGGTAGAAACTAGAAAACCGACAATCCCAAAGGTTAGTACCTACAGTATGTGAACAAATCATTGCTGATGCAGATGAAAGTTGGTGTGAGTTCAGCATACCCTATCTGAAACGCTTAGGATTAAAAGAGTTTCAGGTTTCAGATTTTTTGTGAATTCTGGAATTTTTGCCTATGCATATGACATCTATTAGGGATGGGACCCAAGTCTAAAATGAAATTATGCTTTCCGTGCACTTTACACACACATCCTGAAGGTAACTATATATAATGAGTGCTCCCCATACCCCCATCTGTGGCATCATGTGGACATTCAAAAACTGGGACGTTTTAAGGCTTTTGGATTTTCAGATTAGGGATGCCTAACTTGCATACACACTCTGGAAAACTACTTGGTAATATCTATTATGTAATGCCAAACATATTCATACCCTATGGCCAAACGATTCCACTGGTAATACCTAGCATGAGGTAATCAAAGACATACAAAACACTCATTAGAGGGTCAGGGATGTAGCTCAGTGGTTCCAACCTCTGCCTCACAAGCGCAAGGACCCGAGTTCAATCCCCAGGACCAAAAAAAAAAAAAAAAA